TTACCTCCATGCTTGCAGACCGCTGGTGTATTCATTCACGGCTGTCGCCGGCCATGAAGTGCTCTTGAGGTGGTGTCCTATACGGGTGACTGGCAATTTGAGAAGGAGAATGGAGGCTGCGGACTTGGTAGGCTGGTGGGAACAAATGCGTGTGGGCCCAGCAGGTTGAGTTAGTGGAACGGGCATGTACTGAGCGAGTGGACTGGCGCCGGTCCAAGGTTAGCGCACTGAACCAGTCTGACAGGTGAAGGATTACAGGCTTGGCCAGGGAAGAGATGTAGTGGTGGTCTCTCAGGGCACATGGGTGCCTGCTGCCAGCCAGGAGGCGTGGAGCGAGCCGGGAGGCTGGAGGGGAGCGAGCGGTAATGAAAGCTGTTTGGGTGGCAGCAGGAGATGAAGGTGCCTCATGAGCTGACAGTGATGGCAAATAGACCTGAGTGAGGAGGAGTAATTGTGCGAGCTAAAGTCCAAGTCTGCTGTTGGGTGCAAATGTGCGTTTCGTCCGGTGACTGATCCGTCTTGTTTCGTCAGGCCAGTTATTTCATTCTGCAGCCCCGAGATGTTGAATTTTTGAAGCCGTTTGATTAAATCCTCTCCGTACACGACAGGACCTACATTTCATTATCAGCTAAGGAGCTCTGAGGCGGCATCCGGAGAGGCCGAGAAGAAAAGGTGACCAATTAAGATCTCAGTGAAAAAAATTGCCATTAAAGCTGGCGATTGTGCTGCTGCTGCTCCTCCGTCACGCACAGTGTAGCTACGACCAACTTAAAGGTCCCATGAAATGGTATTACCTCCTTAATGTGATGTATTTCCATTTAAAGCAGGACGTCTGGCAAACACATTAGACAAGGAGGGCTGGATCTCAGGTGGAAGTTAATGGGCTCGGGTAGTTTTATTAGAACGGTCAGAAAGGTGAGGCCGTTGGAAAGTTTGTGAAGATTTTTATAGGTTGGACTTTTTATTGACACCCAGTAGAGCGGCATGAGGTCGGCGCTGAAGATGTTCTGAGGAGTAGGACTGGTCACGTTTGAACCTAAACAACTTATGGTCATATTCAAACCTGTTTGGGGGAAAATCGCCGTCCTGTTCTTCATGTAAATGAGGCCAATCTGGCAATATGGCTCCCAAACATTACATTCCTATAGACCTACTGTTCTCCTTTTTGGGGGCGAGAAACACATTTCCTTCCTGGATGATACGACTCTGCTCCATATTGAAAATCCATAAAGTCTGAATCAAGATGTAAGATGGAGCAAGTCAGCAACAGGACTGACTTGTTTACTTTTGGTTCTCACTCCTTGTTGGTTCGACTTTGGCACCAAAATTACCTGGTTGTTTATTGGCCTTTTTGACTTTATTGTACAGGACAGTGAAGACAGAGACAGGGAAGTGGGGAAGAAGAACTTGCAGCCATGAGGGCCATGAGCGGGACTCGAACCCATGACCGCTGCATCGGGGACTTTAGCCCCTATACATGGGACGCCAACTCAACCAGTTGAGCTATAGCGGCGGCCCTACCTGGTTAGTTTTAGGAAAATATCACGATTTTGGTTAAAATACAGCCCTTCAATTAAACATTTTAAGCTTCTCGTCCATTTTCTGGGTTACCAGGTTGACGAATATCACCTCATCTAATATGTGATTTGTTGACTGAAATGTTTCAGTGGTTGACACCTCCTTCGAGCCAATAGAATATAGCCATAGCCACCAAAATGAGACTGACAGCACTTGTAGCCAATCAGAATCAGCCATCTTGAAGACGAGCCGCTTGCTGTTCACTCCTTTGCTCCCTTCGGCTAACGAAGCCTCCAAAAGACGCCCGGAGTGATTTCAGTGTAACACAGGAAGTAGTACTAACTGGTTCCGAGGTGGATTTACCAATAAAATAAACTTTTCATGGCAAAACAGCTAAGGTACGAGACATTTTACAGCTACAGTGTGATGAAGCGTTTTGGGTTTCTGCTGTTCTTTGGGTTATTTCTCACTGATGCTTTGGTTTTAGAGAGTTTTCATGGATATGTTGGGAATCTGTGGACTGTCTGCTTTCGTTTGAGGGCTTGTTTTGCATAAAGCGCTGGAGCCAGAAATGTGGCGAGTGGGTTGACTGGGTGGTGCTATATCGGTGTCCATGTTTGATAATTAATTTAGTTGGTGTTTGAGTTGTGTTTGGGGCTTGTAGAAATGGCTGATATATTTGTGTTGACTCTCTCATGGTTGCCGCTAATCCAGATAAACTCTCACAATGCTTTGGTTGCCAACGTAGAACCGTCACTTCTTTGGGTCACTTGAGGCTCCATTTGGTGGCGTATCCAGACACAACAGCTGATCTACAATACATTTTCTAGCATGTAAGTCCTTCCTCCGTATCGGTTAAATCATTAACTGCAACAAACGATTAATGACTAATCATTAACATCCCTGGCCAGGTCACTACAAGGGCATTTTGAACCTTTCATTGTTGTTGTTAGTGCCAGGTAAGCCGTTGAATACTGATAAAACAATACGAGAAAGGGAAGGAACAAACAGTCCCTCTGATTAACTCCCATCCCAACAAACTTTTAATCTCCTAAACATTAGGCTGCTGCTGCTGCTGCTGCTGCTCATGCATCATGAATCCAAAGCGGCCACCTCAGGAAACGCCTCGGCATCCTCGCCCGAGCTACCTCGTCTCCGTCTGAAGTGTGCGTCGTCCCATCTGAGGTGACGCGAGAGCCGCGCGATGACTGATAGGAATCCTGATACCCATCCACCACTAAAGTGCACTTAGTCTGGCTGCTGAGAGCCAGGAGTGACCGAAATCCAATGGAGGGGATTAGCGAGGCTGCTCGGAGCTTTGTGGAAAAGATATATTGGAAGTTGATGATTTTTCTTGGCTGCGGTTACAGGGGCGACGGTTTATTTATTTATTTATTTTTTTTATACGTGGAAATGTATGGCAACAAACGCTCCCATATTCCTCTCATCTGAATCCCACAAAAAGCGGGGAGAAGGCACGGGGGGGAGGGAAAGTCTAATTAGCACATTGTTGATTAATAAATAGTAAATTTGAAGCTTGAATTTATGCATGAGGTAACCTTTATAGCGCGGCTAATCTTCCTCACCAGATCCTCCCACTCACATTCTGTGCGAGCCTCCCAACAATATATTGATAATGTTATGCAGCGGCGCATTATGCAGCATATTGTCTCCCACCAACGGAGGCCTTGTATCGTTCACGGCCTTTACAATGTGACTGATTTTTCTTTGTTTGCTTCTTTATTCTGTCTTCCACTTGCCTGTTTTGAGCAGATAATGTGCACCGGAGAGAAGCTGAAGTGGGGACTGTGGGGGTGATGGGGGGGTGGGGTAATAGCTGTTCACATACAGTAGCTCCGGCTGACTCCTGGGGGCAACTGCCTCATTTACAGTCCTCCAGGAAAAAATGTTCTCATGTTTGGTCTTTCATCCACTTCGGTTTGAGTATCTGAGAGGAGCAGCTCTGAATATTTACTTGAGAACTGGTTGAAAGCGGAGCTGTGATGGCACTGAGTGACTTTAACATGTCGGAACTGCATCATCATACCTAGAAGATGAGTGTAATAATGTTTGTGATGCAGGTTTCCTCTATACAAACTCTGTTTTGATGGATTTGCAGGAATAAATCCTTCATGTCATGACTAAATTAGGGGTTGACTGGGATGTTTTTCAAAGCTGATGCTAATTATTTGTAACCAGGAGACTGATAATCTATTTAGATGCTGATATTTATTTGCTGTAGAAATTAAAATGTTGGATTCAAAATTTAGAATAACCCAAAAATGTGCCAGTTTGACCTACCTGGGACGCTTACTTAAGGTAGGCACAAGGGGGAAATGCCTTAAATGTTTAATTAAAAGTCAGCTTTCAACATTTATCCTGCAGCGTTAACAGGTTATTACACTTGGGACCAGTCCTGTGGCTGAGACAATGTCAGAGGTCATAAAGTGGTGACAACAGCTGCACCAGAGCTAAAGTCGCACATTTTAAAATTATTTTATTTTATTGGGAATCAGTTTTAAAAATTAACAGCAATCAGAAAAATGCTGAATGTCGGATCTGAAACTCTGCCAGGCTGATAATCTGTTGATTCCTTGAACAAAGATCTGCAAAATAAATAAATCTGTGTTTAGCGCTAATTAGCATGTTAGCATGTGGTCAACCTCAACCAAGAGGACAAACAGGATAAGCTTTAGTCGGCTGATTATCGGCCTGGCTGATTATCAAATATAATATTTACAATTTGTCCAATTATCTGCATTGTTTATTTTCTTCTTCTTCTTCTTCTTCTTCTTCTTTTTTTTTTTTTTACACTTTTATGTCTGCACTCACCACTTTATGATCTCGAGCACCACAGCACTATCTGATTGGTTACATGTCCCAGACGACAACCAATCAACACTAAAGGATAAATGGCAACACATTTCCTTTCAATTAGATTAGAATAGACTAGAATGTCCTTTATTAGTCCCACAAGGGGAAATTTTCACCGTCACAGCAGCAAAGTGATACAACTAGAAAACACAACTATAAATGAAAGAGTCTAGATATATACACTATAATATGATATAAATAAGAAAAACAGAAGAACACAAGGACACTGAGAGCACAAATTTAAGAATATTCACATGAATGAATTGCGTTAAACTTTAAACAAATTAAACATATGTCAAATAAATAAACTTTAGCATTGGAGTTTTTTTTATTCTAAATGTTCAGACCAAGTAATTTTGAATGTTTTTAAAAATCAGTCATTGATCCCCTTCATTACTAATAATTTAATTGTATCAGCCCTGAACAAAACACATCAGTCGACCTCTAATAAACTTTATACTGGCTTAGCACCAACGTTTAGCTTTATTGTAAGCATGTTAGTATCCTGACGTTTGCATTTTTAACCTCACACACTAGAACAGCTGCAGTCTCTCTGAGCCTTTTACACGATGTAGACCTGTGGAGCTACACCCACAGCCTCCACTCACCTGTCCATCCTTCCAATCGTCCATTTATCGTTCCTTAGTAACTTCCTCCAGTGTTTTTCTTTCTGTGGGATCCCCTGGTACTCCCTGCTAGCTGGGCTGGAGTCCGTCCAGCATGTTCTGGGTTGGCCTCTGGGCTTTTTCCCCAGTTTGCCATACCTGGCACTCTTTCTAAGGTAGACACCTGGGGGACACTTTTAGCAAATGCCTAAACTACCTCCACTAGACACACTTTGCAGTGTTTGCAGTTGATGCCAAGTTAGGTTATGTGTCCGCCGGGAACGTTTCCTTCGAGCTGTACACCACAGTATTGACTGGAGAGAACAAACTGTTACAGATTTCAGACGGTGCCAAGAGATTTGCGTCGGGTTTCTCGCTCAGAGCGGCGGACTGCTGAAACTATTTCAACTTGGGAAAAGGTTTTCAATAGTTGTTCAGCAATAATGACAGCTCCGGCCAGCAGTTCATCCCCGGCATCTGTTTAACACTTCCAGATAAAATGAGAGGTGGAGGCCAATTTGGAGCCGCCTTGGCCCATTGATCGCCATTAAAGTTAAAAGTTGGAGACTGTGGCACAATCTGTTCACACACTGGAACGAGACGAGTAAAATAATCAATTGGAAAATGTTAATTTCCAGCTGGTCCGACCGACCGATAGCCCAACGCTGCGGTTCTGGCCGCCGTGCTTGATGGCGTCGAAGGAGAAATATGTGTGACTGCTGGTGGAAGTTGGCTCAATAATTGCTTGTCACACTTTGCAGCCTCAGCTCTGCATAGACGTTTTGCTTCGGCGAAGTCGGAGAAACGTGTGACATTTCTGTCGGCCGCGGAGAAATCACAAGTCTTTGGTAGGAGATGAATCTGCTAAAATGTCAAGTTGTTTTTTTAAAAATGTAAAACATCGGTTGGTGTATATTTCAGCTGCTAGTCAAACAACGCTGGTCCTTCCTTTCTACCGCTGTGCTCTTCTTTCCATTCATCACACTGTGCTCATCCCACACACGGTCTCAATTCCCCAGTCCATCGCTGTAAAAGCCTCTGCCTTGCTTGATCTTCAATTTAACAGTTTTCGCCTCTCTTGTTGTCCTTGATCTTTAACTAGCTTTAATTCACTGCCATGACAACCAAGGTCAGAGGGAGGGCAGAGAAATGCCTTTCTGGTGAACACAGTCCCGTCTTCCCGCGATCGTAAGTTTGATACCAAATGAAGAAATGGAGAAATATTATTTAGTAAGGGTTGGTTTAGTTCAGTGTCTAAACAGCTACTTCTGTGCAATCAGATGTGAAAATGAAGACGAGGCTCCACGTGGAGATCCGCAGAAAGGTGCTACTGCGATTAATCCATCTCATTCAAAGCAACAACTGTATTTGGAAAAATAATAAAGGGATGCATTTAAAGAGAAAACAGATGTTTGGTTTAAAAGAAATATGGTCGATAGGACAACACCGCTCCCGACGGCAGGAGGAAATTATCTAACGCAACGATACGATCTGCAACGTGTGATAGGAACGCTTGTGACACCAACCTAGTTTCTGGGGCGTGTTTAGAAGAAAGCCGCGGCCCGTGGTGTCACATGCAGCACCGATATCTACAGGGATTACAGAAGCGCCATCAGCTGCGATGGAGATACCATTTATAACCCTACACGGTGCTCCACGAGCGCCGTGGAACCCGACTCTGTTCAAGGGGGAAAAAAAGTGGTTATTTTTCACGGAGGACAGGACTATTAGATGATTTCATATGGCAAACAATTTCCTTTAAAGCCGCAGGAAAGCTAGATTAAAAACAACTCGAGTGCTGACGATCTTCAAGTCCTCCCCTCCTCTCTCTTTTCTTTTTTTTAATTCAAAATCTCATTACAATTTTTCAAGCAACACAGTGTTATTAAAGCCGGAGCGGTGGGTGGGGGGACATTGCATCAAACAGGACTATGCAGAGTCTGTTGCAACACGTCTCCACATAAATCCAGGCTGCACAGGTGACATACAACACTCCATGTAATTTCTAACCACCGAATGAGTGTATATTTCTTTTTATATTGCCTTGATTTAGCGATCTTTAGGGTGCAAACAACAGTGTTTTATGGATTTTACGACCAACGTGCATCCCCATCCGGCTGGGCATAGCGTTTGGTCCTCTGTGAAACAAGAACATGTCGGAGCTCCTCCCTCTGACAGCAGCGTTATCCTTTCATCGTTTTTTCCTCTCGGTAACACATGTTCTCTCTCCTCTTGCTCCTTTCAACTTGATTTCTCCCTTTTTTTTTTTTTTGGCTGACTCCAGCAGAAATGACTCTAACCTCTAAAGTAGATGTAAATGTTATTCACTCCGGTGTATATTACACACAGGTAGGGTGCCATATATTAGAATAAGCAAGTGCATGAATAGGAGGGTAAATGAGCGTAGTAAACATTAAGTTATTTACATAAAATGTTTTTTTAGAGGAGCCCTCTGCAGTGAAAGCCCGTTTGTGGCGACCCGTGTCAGTCAACCAACCACGCTGCGACATGAAGGACATTCAGGTGACCTTCCAGACACGCAGCCACACTTCTGCAGATCAATTTATCGAATGGATTGAACATCTTACTTTAAAGGGCAAATCCGTGCAGATATTTGAAATAACAATTCCTCATATTTGCTGCGAAGATAAGCGCTCGACGCCGAAGCCCTCGATTCAAATGTCGTTAGCTTCGTTTAACAGCACGTTATCGCCGTATCGTCATTCCCACACATATGGGAACCTCCTCAGCTATCTAGGAAGCACAGCAGCTGCATTATCATCCGCTGTGATCTTCAATAAGCAGGAAGGAACCTCGATAACGTCGGTGACCTTTTGTGGTCGTGTGACTAAGTGCACGTCAAATTTCTGGTGGAGTTGTCACCTTGGAAACCAACAAGATGGAGCTTTGCAGCATGTGGTGAAGTTCAACCCAAACCATGATGCTTTTCTGAGCTACGCAGGTACTGTTGGTGCCTAAACTTAACCATTCGCTGGCTAAATATGTAACTAGCACAGAGTGGAAAAAACGAAAGTGAAAGTAAAATGACACCGGTGAAAAATGGAAGACAGGAATGAGCCTCCTGGGTGAAACTCCGCCGACTTACACCAAGCCATCCAATCACCGACTTGTACGTGCAAAATTGTGGCCCCATCTCCATTAACTGGGTTGATAATGGAGATCCATTAAACTGGGGGGGTTTGAATGGCCTATTGAGCCCAGTGGAAGGTGGAGGAGGAGGCCCCTACTGGTCCATATGAATGGGAATAATCCACAGTGATAATGGCCACTTAACGGGCTGATGACATCCGAGAAATGGTGGCTGGAGGGACTTGTCCATATGATGTATAGCGTACGAATCAGGACTACAGCTGATGATTATTTTCATCACGATCAACCTGCTGGTTATTGTCTCGATTGTGCAGATTTATAAATCCAAGGCTTAAAGGGACAAACTGCTTATTTGATGTGCTCAACAGATAAAAACACCCGATGGACATGTTAACTAACTAACAAAACAAAAAATAATAATTTCCCCAGAAGGTTTGTTTCGTTCTTGATTTCAGGGACGTAGCAGTCTCCTTATTGCAGCAAGTCTGTTTCCATTAGCAACAGGTTTTTGCATCAAGTCTTTTTTTTTTTTTGCAATATTTAGATTCTTCATTTCCACTCTGTTTTCTTCTTCTGAAAATAAAACAATGTGGATGAAAACATATTTGATATCACGCCTGAAAGCAACAGGTACCCAAAACCGGATTAATGAGGCAAGAAAATCCAGGACGAGGCCAAGTGGACTGTAAACCAGCTAAACTGGCAGAACCCACACCTGGGATGCTGTCAGAAGCTTCCAGGCAACGCTGTAATCAGTGCCTTGTCACTTCGAGAGAGACACCTATATAACGACCTGGTATCGCATCCCCACCTGCGACACCTCTCGTGTGGAACAATGGAAGCGGTGAAGGAGGTGCGATCGACCAGCTGCGTTGCCGCTACTCCACGCATTGTGCTGCCTCCATAATTAGCGAGAAACAATCGCAGGAGTTGAATGGCTTTCCCAGTGTAAACGCTGATCCTTTCAAATGTAGATACCAAACTGCTAATCTCGCCAGCGTATGAAGCTGTAAGTCATAAGTAGCTTAGCGCTGGACAGCACCCAGCATCACAACAAAAAGGACACAAGCGCCGAGATTCGTTGCATCAGTTTTCAACCCGTGCTTGTTGAGTTTAAGTGCCACGTTTAACTATCCTGTAAATGTTTTCCTGCTAGGCTTCTGCCGTTGTGTTAATATGACACAATAACTACCTCTGATTGAGCAGGCAGGACAGTAAAACGATCTCGAGCATATGTTACAGCCGATGAAAATCAAGTTGTTGTTGTTGTTTTTTTACCTCGTTAACGCATCCATATGGTGTTTTTTTTTTTTTATATGCTGGAAAGACATCATGATGAAAAAAGCTGTCAGCGCCACGGCTGAGCATTTCCACCTTGAAACTGCAGCGTGCCGTCTCAGAAGCACAGGTTCAGACAGATGTCATACCATGAGAACCGAAGGAACCAATCCCATCGGCTTGAATGTTCTGTAACTTCAGTCGTTTTGAACATGTATGACTGAACTTGTAATTGTGTAGTTTCAACAGTTTTTAGGTAGAGTTCTGGGTGAGCTGGTGTGCTTGAGCTGCAGCCAGTGGGTAGGTGGTGTGGTTGGACCAAGAGGACAGAATGTTGTAGAGTTACCTTTAAAGCAGGCATTTAAAAAAAAAATCCTAACATGTCATTTTAAAACACAGAAATAAGTTTTCAGGGACTTTGATGCAAAGAAAGTATAACAAGCACATGTTTCCTGCGGGCAGTAGAATGCGTTTTGTTTCTAAAGTCGATACCTTTGGATTTCTTTTGTTCCTCTGAGACCCTGCTGTTGTGCTAAAGAATGCATCTATTAGTGATAAAAAAAGATTTCAGATGTACCACAGTGCACGTGGTGTTTAGCCTTTCAATTAATGTGTTGCTTTT